AAACCCAGAGTTTCCATAATGGATATAATTTGCCCAGCTCAATGGTTGATATCTAGATATATTTGTAACATCTCAAAGCACTCTATGCTGATTTTTTTAGACAGATTTTACAGAACCCAGCTTAACTTAACAGAAGTTGTAAATTATGTCTAAGTGGACTTTATAAACAAAAGTTAAAGTTGAGCATGCAAGGGAATATTGAAAAGTTTGCATAATGCTGTCAACATCTACAGTGCCAATGTTCATCCTTTCTTTTATTATTAGCTGAACTTTTTTCTATATACATGGATATATGTCTAACTAAGTATGTGTGTACAGATTTATGTTTTCAAATGAAACAAAGCTGTGCAGTTATTATTGCAGGGGTCGACTAGTCTCTTCAAGCACATGCTTCCTCCAGCCTATTAAAGTACAGTACCAACATTTCCCTCTTGTAGCTTTGGGAGTGTGATCCGACCTGAGCTTGTGTTTCTGGGAAAGCGCCTGGAGAATACCAATTTAATTTAGAAACTGCTCAGCTTAAGTGTTTGGTAGGGTTTGACAGCGTGGCATCAGGTGATCAGATATATTTTCAGAGATAGCACATAGAAAGTTGGAAACGTCACCAAAAAGTTTACATTAAATGTATTTTTCCTACGAAGGAATTGAATTTAAACATCATTTAAATTTATAACATGTGCCAGATTCCAGTGTTTTGTTACATTGCAGAATTTAGATGCTAGTACTCTGCTTTCAAATTATTTTAGTACCAGGTATGGGCTTTTTCTTGAATTACAAACATTATTGTGTTGCACACTATTAAGCTAATAGTCAAGCTGGAAATTTGATGTAGTGGAAATGAGCAACTATTTCTCCTGCTGGTTGAAATACTGTAATGTTGTTAAAACAATATTTTTGGACAGCTCTTTCTCTTCTATGTAGGCTTTTTCATGACTATCACATGGAGCTTTTAAAAAAATGTACAAAAGTTTGAGGTTGGATTAGCCCTGTAATGTCTTTGCAAGAAAAAAATAATTATAAAAAGCATCCTTCCCCACTCACCACCCCTAACCAAAAAGCATGCATTCATCAAGTTTTATTGAACATACATAATACATTTTAAATAGTATTATATATTGACCTTAAAATTAAAGGTGGTGGTGGGTATTGCAGTCTGGGTGAAACCTGTTCATCAAAATGGACATAAAGAGTGTTATTTCCAAGGATAATCAACTTTTTTTTTTTGATGACACTCTGGGGAGAGAAAAAAATAGTTTAATTTAAAAATTGAAACATTTCTTCTAAACTGGCCAATCGGCTTGCTTCTCTATCTGCTTTTTATTGAATCCCAGCTTTGCATTTCAGCGGCCCATTAAAATTTTCCTGCTTTTTAGAGTTTCTTTGAAAATATCTTGTGAACACTGATGGAGAAAATTTTCACTAACAGACTTGCAAATCTCCTGTTTTCTCTAAATAAGAACAGAGATGTCTTCAGGTTTTATTTTGTTTTGTTTTGTTTTGTTTTTAAAGGAAGGGTAGAACATTAACACATGACAACAGTGAGATTACACAGATAAATTTTTGAGTTCTTTTATCTAGTAAACATTCTAATGATCGACTTCAAAGGCAGGCAGAGAAGAAGCTTCCTTGTCCCTGAGCCAGAAGGAGAGGCGAAGCTCTTTACCACTCATATGGGAGATATGAGGAGCCTTTGAATGGATCATTGCTTTTTATGGGTAGTAATGAGGTGAGAAGTATTCTAGTGTGTGGCACAGGCCTTCATTAAAAAGCGTGAAACAGAATGGCTTACGGTTAAAGGGGACAGTTTGTTCTAACATACTTGCTAAATTGTGCTGTAACAATGCCAGTTAACAGCACTCTATTTTCCATAGGATTTCTGAATGCATTTGTGTGCAATTATTCTTCCCAAAGTTAAGGGATTTTTTCAATAGCTTATGTTAACTATTTTGACAATACTCACTCCTTCAGTGGAAAGTGTATTGAGCTCCACAGTTAAAGAGGGGTGAAAGAATCCAGAGATGTTCTCATTCTCCTTCTAATGCCAAAGGAGTCTTGTAAAATCAGAAACTCACAGAGCCCAAATTTAAATAAATACCATTTGCCTAAAAGGTAATATCAGAAGTAATAGCCAGTTTAATAACTACAAAGCTTAAAGTTTAAAAACATGTATTATAATAAATGCAGTCCATAAGGAAGAAAATTAGATTTGGTAGTTTCAAGTCCACCATTTAAAGAGAAAGAAAAACTGAAAAATTAGTGCAATAATTTTGCGACATTTGTGAGGAAATTCTGCCTATAAGGGAGCTTGAAGTTTTACAACATACCAAGAAGATTACTCGTTCAGGCTCTTACTGGGAACGTTGCACTAAAATTTTATTCACTGGAAAAAATCATTCTACTTAAAGAAACATAACATGTTTTTGTTTTCACGTGACCAGCTATCAAAAAAAACAATGTTGTAGGATAGAAATGTTAAATTTTGGACAAATCCTAGAATTTGGGTAGATCATATGGGAAAACTGTTTTATAAGTGACAATGTCTTCAGACAGGTTTACTATTCCACTAAAAATGTCATAACATTTGATTTTGAGGGGGAAAATTCTTTGAATTTTCTTAAAAGGCAATAATACAAATATTCATTGTTTTGTAAAATATGTCCCAATTTTATAATTGATGACACAATTTCATTGGAACAGAAATGTATTAATTAAATACAATTGATATGCCACCATAGACTAAAAATGGAGACTTAAATTTAAGCACCAAAAGATTTTACAGTCAGAGGAAGTACCAGTGGCTGTCCACTCAGTGGAATTGCTGAGGCTTAGAAATAGGGAGAACTTCAGTTTTGTCACTTTCCACCCTTTTCATTACTATTTAGCTTTTGTATATTAGATATTTGATATTTGGGGAGAAATATTTACAACCACAATTTAGTACATTATTCTAGCTTCAAAATAAATACTGTCAAGCTTAATAGAAACCAGGCAGTGGGCCTACAATAAATGTAATAGGCTCAGCCTCGCCTTTCTATTTCTTTTTATTGGGTTTTCGGGAAAGTCTATGAAGGAAATTCTAATTGCAATTGCTCCCAGCACATGCTCAGTCAGGTTCTGTAAGCCTTAGAGAGAGAAATGGTAGCCCTGGGCTATGGGGTAGAATCAGTGGTATTTTTCCAAACTAAACTGAATATGCGAGCATAGTGAATAATTAAAATTATGTTCCACAATGCTTCATCCTTCATTGTACCACAAGAAGTCAAATCAGATAAAGGCTGTTATTAAATACAAAATAACACCTTATTCTATGCCATTGATAGATTCATTAAGCAGGAACACTGCCCACAGAAAACAAGTCTTTTTCTCATTACTCAGGAATCAGAACTTCACGTTTTCTCAATTTAACACAAATGTGGACCCTCTGAGTTCATCAGTAACAACTAGAATAGAAAACCTGGAAATTAACATAGTAGAAATGCATATTAAAGGGGCATTTACTATTTTTTAAGCTTTCTTGTTGCATTGTGCCTTATTTTTATCTAACTGGAGAAACTAAAGCTTTTCAGACTGGTGAAAAGAAGCAATACAAAGATTAGATGAACACAGTGTGAAATGAATATACTTGATTGAAACTGTTCTGAGCTAAGCTTTTCTGATTCCCTATGACGTCATGGAACCTCATGATTGGAAATTCCAATGGCTTCATGATGTCAAAAATGTCCATTTGCTTGAATCTATTCTCAAAGTCCCTCTGAAATTAAAAAAAAAAGAGAGAGAAAAACATGTATAAGGAACCTAAAAAGATAATAAATTTTGAACAGAAAATACTTATCCAAATATGTTGAGACTAAATGCTATATAATAAAAACATGAGTCTGGGGAGAAAAAAAGGTACAATATTCTAAACAAAATACATAGCTACACTTGAGAAAAGTTTTATTAGGAGATGAGTAGCGGTTGCATTTTCATAGGAAAGTTGAATCCATTTAATAAAACTGCCACATGCTCTAACCCTCTGGCAGGTGTGGAAACTGACAGGTGTAAAGGAATATGCATACACAAAGCTCCCCGTCTGTAAGAACTACCGGGGCAGTTGAAAAGATGTTACAGCTTCATTCTCTCTGCTTGTGGGCATTTCTACTGAGGTCTAATTTCTACTGAGGTCTAAAAGCTCTGTTTTACCAGACACAGTGTCTGAAAATTGGGAAGTAGAATGGAGAAAGGTTAAACACACTTGGAACAGCTCTAGAATAAGCCAGAATTTTAAAGCAGTCAATGTTGATTATTATTATTATTATTATTATTATTATTATTATTATTATTAGTGTCAGGTGTGCAAAACAATGTACTAGACATTTAAACACCTCACAAAGTGATAATCCCCTCCCCCAATCTACTACCCCTCTGACTCAATGTTGATTTTTGATTATCTTTCTTTTGTTATAGTCACACACCCTTCCAAATCCTCATGTGAATCTTTGATGGATGCTAAGTAAATAAATATTTCTTTCATGACTTGGCATGCTCAAGGTGATACCTTGGTTCTCCCCAAGTTGCTCTCTGGCATATTAGTGGTTACCATACTTGGAATTTTTCCTCTGTTACATCCATTCAATGACAATCTCTGGGCTCCCACTCTTCCTTTATGTAATAATCTCCAAGGCCCAACTGAAGTCACTTCCACACATAAACTAGATCCATAAGCCCCCACCCATAAGAGCCCCCTTGTCCTGGATACTATCTATATCACACATATTTGAAATAATTATTTCAAATTTGTTATTTTCTTGAATTGTTCACAGATTATTTCAGGTGTATTCACTGTCTTCTGATAAACTCCTTGAGGACACAATGAACATATGTTATAGTATTTTTATTTCATCAAGAGCAATATACAAATGAAAAATAATATAAAAGTAGAAAGACTAAAGGAACATAGCAGACTCAATACCTTCTTTCTCCTTGTATACATTTATATCTTTTAAAGTGATTCTGTCCTATTGCTTAATTTCTAATGAATCTAGTAGTGGAAATTACTGTCCAAATAATAAGAAAAGAGATCAAATTGGCAAACAGCAGAAGAGGAGTCTTTAGATGAACATTCTTTGTGGTACTCCTTCAAAATTCTCCCCATATTTCTCTCTTGGCTTGGGATTGGCTAGAAAAAAGAGGGAAAAAAATGAAAGTAAAAAGAACTGAAATTTAGGATCTTTGGAAAGGAATGAGAGACCAGTTTGAGGGACTAATGGAGGGCAAAGACATGCTTCCATTTTTTATCTCTACTTCCCATAAGTTTTTCAAATGCTGAATATGTTAATTCAGTATATTGAACCAGTGACTTGCTTTATTCTGTTTGGGTTTCTATAATATAAAGTAATTATAGTGAAAGCCTTCAAATAGTAAAGTATAACCAATCAGGTTTCTTTTTTTTTTTTTTTTNGCTGAGCCATCCTGCCACCTGTTGGAAGCTCAGCTTGGGCTGGGCATCGAACCACTGTTGCTCAGAGCTCAAACTCTTGAGCGAGCTCTTAACCAACTGAACCACTCGGCCGACCCCCAATCATGTTTCTTAGTCATTGAAAAACACAAAAAGTAACATAACATGTGTTTGTCCTATTCATGATATTGAAATGGGTACAAGTGTAATGACTTTATACCTCACTGAACAGAAAGCCTTTTTTTTTCTTTTAATCAGAACAGCACCTTTCCAAATTGTCTTACAAGTCATAAAATTATCTCTTATACTATGGTTTGCCATATTTTAGGTTACTTGTAAAAAATCTCCTTTGAATTACTAGTCATATATACGAACCCAAAATATTTATAATTAGGATCTCTGTGGCAAGAATAATTCATTTAATCTTCTTATTTATGCTACCCATAACTGGAGGAATTTAAAGAAACTAATAAATGTTTGCCTCAATATTCTCTTTGATCAATTTCTATGTAGAAATGATTGAGATTTCATTCCAGTTTACAGGGAAGTGCTATATTTAGGGACATTTAGCAAGACATTCCAAAGCTATAAATAAAATTCCATCTTAATTCCAAACACTGTTCTGTACCTCAATAAGTAGAATTGTAAAAAATAGCTGGTTGGCTGCCAAAAATTAAGGAGTGGGATAGAAAGCCTTTCTCATATTCAAGTTAGTAAAATGAGAAAATTAAAATGAATGAATGTTCCTTATGATGTGGAGAAATCTAGTTCAAATCATTCCAGTTTTCAAGTTAATATCTCTAGTTAAAATAGATAACTATGAAATGGCTTAAATATTTTGTCTAAACGCTTTCTGGCAGTGGGGAGAGGGTCATGCAGAAGAGTTCCCCTAGTCTGCTCTCCCCACAGCCTAGAATTAGAGTGAAAGTGTTTATTTCTCTTGTAATTTTTCTTTCTCGATAACAACATGCTAAAACCCAAGCATTTCTCATTATATTATTACAATTTTTAAAAAATTGCTGGCTTATCCAATTCTGATCTGAAACACCTTTCTCTAATTAGTGTCTTTGAAAAACTGAACACAGACAGATTTTAATCTTTTATTTACTGATTTTATTTTAATGCTATTACTCAGCATATGTTGGCTACATTAAACCATTACAGTAAAAATTAAAATGAAAGTCATATGATTTATCCCCCTTTAAAAGTACTCAATCAGTCTAATAAAACTTGACTACCAAATACCAGATGTCTGATTTAAAGGCAATTCTGAACAAGAAGAAAAAACCCTCCCATTATTCTCTTAAGATATTTAGTTGAGATTAATGCCATCCAAGGAAAAATAACATTTGTGTATAAATACAGTTGTATGGATATATTGAACATAAGAAGATACAGGGAATAAAAATATAATATTGATCTTGATCATTTAAAACCCCCATCTTGATAAATACATTTGTGTGGCTTTTATAGACAATCATCAAGCCAACTTGATATATATATATTTTTTAAAGTGAGGGTGGTTATTTCAATTGAGAATGCAGACGGTCAGAATGAGAATACAAGATATAATCAAGATAGATATTTAAAATCAAGTTTTGCTCATTACTTTTCCCTCAAACTTTAGTTCCTCCTCACTATTTAATTATCAGCATAATTTCTTACCAAAAACTTCATCTGGGAAAATAAATGGATGTTCTCCGATGTATAAAAAAACATTTTTAAGAGAAAGAGACAAAAAAGGCACCAATCTTTTTCATTTTCATTACACTTGAACTCAACTACTCCCCATATTCAGCACTCCCTAAACACAATTGTTTTTCCCAACTACAAATCTTTGCCCATATTACTCTTCTCCTTCCAAGAACAGGCTTTCTCTTTCCAACAGTTAAGATCTACGCCTCAAAGATGATCTCACATGGCATTCTTTCATAGTTTGTTATTATTATTATTCCTCCCTCCCATTGCCATAACTACAGTATCGCTATGGTGGTCACTGGCTGGCAGTTCCCAAAACGTATTTGCCTTTTCTCCTGAACCCAGCAAGATTACATGTCCCAGGCTCCTTTGCAATGAGGTATGGCCGTACAATGGTGGACTGACCCATAGGCTGTCAGCAGAAGTCAGAGCATGCTTGTGTGTGAGCCACTGCTCTCCTCCTTCTGGATTGGATTGGATTCACAGTATTATGATGATGGCGAGAGCTACATGCTGGAGGTGGCAGAGCTCGGGTTCCTGAAGGCTGTGTGTTAGAGCCTGCCCTCCTTCCCACCCCCACCTTCGCTGCCAATTACAATTTACATAGCACAAAATAAGCTTCTGTTGTGTTTATTATCCACTGAGATTTCTGGGTTTCTCAGAAGCTCATATTATCTTAACTAACACAGCCAAACTTATGATCTCCCCATTGACTAAATATCCATAATGCTTTTTCTTTTTCTTTTTTAATCACTGTCTATAGTCTCTTTATAGAAGAATGATACTGCTTGCCTTTCTCCTTAAGGTCATGAACTCCTTTTTTTTTTTCAGCTTTTATTCCTGACAGTACTAAACACAGTCTCTGGTACAAAGCAGATCTTTAAATTGCATTGCACTCCTCAATCTGAGTTTATTGGGCAACCCAAAACCGAGTTTCTTGGCTCACTCATTCATTCTTTTATACATTTATTTATTCAAAGTGTTTATTGCATCCCTATCACATGTCAGTGCAGTAGACACCTTTGGGGTATCTGCCCAATTTATATTGATTCTCCTTTTTTGAGAACCCCCATAAAGGTGGACCTCCAGCAACCAAAGTCACACTGCGTGAATTTGTGGCTGACATAACCAGAGTTTAGATGTCACTCAAGCTGGGCCAATTAGATTCTGTCTTCAGGAAGGTTGCTAGGAAATAGCCAGTTAATCTTTTATAATGACTAAAATTGTATCATATATACTTGGGGGCAGAGCGCAGCTATATTATACCACATTGGCCTAAGAAGCAAAAAAAACTAGTCAATGGAACAATGAAGAAATATAGAATAAGCACCCAGAAAAAAGCATTGAATCCTGAAGGCTCTCCAAGTCTTGTTTGCAATTCTTTCCTAAGGCCAGAATGAATTCTACCACTGTGCTCTGTAGCTTTGTTAACACCTTCCCTGTTTTTCATAAGCTGTCTCAGGATGATTCCTGTTACTTGCAACTAATATAACTGTAATTAATAAAACAAGACATTTTGCTTCTCCCTAGGGATACAATGGTGAACAAGAGATACATAGTCTTTACCCTCCTGATAAGACCAGTAGGTGGTAATTCAGTAAGTGCTAGGGAAAAAAAGAAAAGCTATCTTTGCAGTGTTCTTGGATGCTGATTTTCCTTTCTCTTGAAGAATGAGGTGCGGAGGCTATTTTATGTTACACAATTAACAAGAGCTTTTTGTTTTTTTAATCACCCATGAGAATATTGCTTTCTCCAATCCCAATTTTTTCCTTTTGTTATTTTGCCATTCAAGAGCATTACAAAAATTGTAAAATCAAATATCAGCAAAAGAAGCTAAATACATTGGTGTTGGAAGAAGAGAATGGTGGGAAGCTTCTAATTGGGGTGATGGTATTGATGATAAGACAAAGTAGAAAGATAGAAAACATCAGTGAGATAGAAGATGCAGAATTTAAGGACTAATTACACACAAGTATGGCAGAGGGAAGAGTCAGGGGTGGCTGAGTTTTTTTTTTTTTTTTAGCTGAGCCATCCTGCTACCTGTTGGCAGCTCAGCTCGGGCTGGACTTGAACCACTGTTGCTCAGAGCTCAAACTCTTGAGCGGGCTCTTAACCAACTGAGCCACTCAGCTGGCCCTAAGGGGTGGCTGAGTTTTGAGCCTAAGTCACTAGGAAAATGGTAGAAGACCAGGATGCTGGTTTAAGGGAGAGATAATATGTGATGTATCATTGCATTTCAGAGTCTCAGCCTTCAGCGTGTATCAGGGTATTCTGGAAAGTTTTAAAAGATACAAATGTCCTACCTTCAGCAACAGAGATTATGACTCAGGTGGTCAGAAGTGAATTCTGTCATGAGTATTTTTAAAAAACCTTCTGCCCACAATGATTTTAATGTATTGATGGGGTTGAGAACAAACATTGTTTGAAGTGTCTAGACCTTCCACAAATGTGCTTATTTGTTTATTTCTAAAAGCTCTTTCTATTTAAAATAGTAAGACATGGTGCAGAAAACTTGAAAACTCTGATATTTAATAATATAAAGTTGAAAAAGAAGGTAGAGGGTGATGGGAGGAATAAAAAAGAGATGAAGCAAAAAAATCAATTAATACATGGGGTGGGACGCTGAACTTTAAAAACATAGATTTTTGTAAGTCCTGCTCTTGCAGTTTCTTTTCTTTACCTCACATACTGAAGCTTCTGATGACTCAGAAAATCCAGAAGATGGCAAGTTCGGCTCTGTGACGTAGTTGAAGTTTTACCTTCAATCCATTCTTCCTGCTGACTCAGACCCTCCTTGGTGATTGCCTGTTCCTTTCACTGAAACAGAGAGCTGCTCCTCTTGGCTCGGATCTCAACTTCTCAATGTTCTCTGTGGTGGTAAGAAAATAAAAAAATATTGTGATCTAAGTAAGTAGCCTAAGCATTATTAATAGATAGTTACCTACTAAATAATTAGCTGCTAATATATATGGAATGAATAAGTTGCCACTTAAGAATCAACTAGAACTTTGTCTCCTTCTCTCCAAAAGCCAAAAAGAGAAGAAACTTTGTCTACTATTTATTAAACTGTGCATAAACAAGGACTGAAGCCAAACCTACTTTCTCCTCCCATACCGAGTCGATGAAACAGACACGGATCAGTAAATCAGAAACCATGTCATGGAAAAAGTGGAAAGAAATGGGTTTGATTTTAATGGTATTTTACAAACAGATACTCTAAATCAAATATCATGGCAGTAAAAATGACAGAAGTCTGCAAAGAATGGATGATGTGTGTGTGTGTGTGTGTGTGTGTGTGTGTGTGTGTGTGTGTACACAGAAGGACAAATTCCTTTTCAAAGGAAAAGTCCGGGGGTAAAGAAAAACGCATCATGCCACCTAGTGGTAGAGAACAAGCCGATTTCCTTCTAATCATACAAAGCAACTTCGCCTTTCCATCAGAAAATCAAATGAATTCGGTAACAATGGAATCTTGATTTCACAAATTACACAGTAGTTAAAATTTAAATGTCACGGCTGTGTTTTAATTTTGTACCCACCAATGGCATTAAGAAATATGGAAGTTTAAAGAGCCCTGGAGTCAGAGTTAGGACAACTCCTATTTCTCTTTCCAACCAGGTCACTTAACCATCTGGAGATCAGTTTCTTCCATAAAGGGGCAGGATAAATGAACTCTAAGCTGCTATCATGCTCTTAAATTCCATGTTTCAAAGTAAGCAATAAGACCACATAATAAAGGAACTTTTATCTAACGCAGTCCCTTGTGACAAAGCCACCATCTTTACTAACCAAATACTTGATTACATAACATGCTTTCCACACCCTCAGTCCCATTCCAGTCCCATTTTACAGACTTCACTCTCTTCTTTCCATGCCATTCTTTATGTCTACTTTGCATTATTGGATACCCACTGCAAATAGTTCCTCTATTACCATTCTTAACCCCTGTGAACCTCAGTGGTATATGTTTGTGATCTATTTTTCTAACTTACATAAATGTCCACATATTCCCCCTTTTCCTTTGAAATCAGGTAAACCATTCCTCAAAGAAGAAAAGAAGTGAAGTTTGGGATTATATTGCCATGTTTCTCAGATACTGTAAAGTATAATTTTCCCTTTCCCCCACTCTTATTAGGAATATAGATCCAAGGGTGGACCTGTTAATCAGAATTAGGAAAGGCCTTAAAAACCAGCAGTCAATCTGAGCTGTTTGGAATATTTAATCTCCTAATAAGCAGTCTATTCTTGCAACCAAGGAACAACATTGTTAATATTTTTTTAATTCCAAAAGAAAGAAAAAGGTCTTAAAATATAATATTTTAACTATTCCAAATATGACAGAAACCCAGCAACATTTCTCTGATGCAACAGTTTAAAAAGTATCAAAGTCAGCTGCAAAAAGTTTTTTGATTTGAAAATCTGACTTTCTCTGCACCAAAGCCTTGTCCCTCATCCCAGCACCATACAATAGCAGAAATAGTAAATAGCTTTCTAATGAGCCTAAGTGGTTAACCCAAGAATTTGTTTATTTGCTCTAAGAAGCCAGTCTTGAGATTACACTCTAGCCTTACTGTGCTTTCACTATTGACAACACGGTGTGTCACAGATGAAATTATGAAAGGACAAAAATCTGTATTTCCTTCTCCAAACTGAAGACTACAAAATAAATGGGACAAGCAGAGGAAGTGGAAGAGTATATACATTAGCCTCCTATAAGCACATAGAGGGACTGGCAGTTAGATTCATGCTGAATATGCTGACATTCCCCTGATGCCCTCATGAGTACACAATAGAAATAATTTTCTTGAACATGCTTATCACTGTATTTATTTATTTACTCAACTCCCGTCTTTATCTTCCCAAGACATCCTTCAGGCCTCCAACCTCCTCCACAGACAGGCTCCTGTGCAAATGCCTCCAAGCACTTCATTTTCCCCTGCAGCACTTTATAATACCTCCATCTAAACCTTCAGCCCCTTATATTATATGTTTACTTATATATAGTAAACTAGACTGTTAATTGTAGGAGGCAGGGACCTTATCTTTGTGAAACTTCGGACCTACTGCTATGACTGGCCACTTAAAAAAAACCTTTCTTGAATTGAATAGACTGTGTTCATTTAAACAGAGTGTGTTATTCATACAGGGACCAGATGATTCTATCTTACTCCCTGCTTTTCTTTGCATAGGAGAAGTGTATTCTCAATGGCAGCGTTTCAAAAATGGAGTACTTTTCTCTTTCATTTGGAACCACTAGTAAACACTGCTTTCCTTGGTGCTTTTTTCAGAGCAGAGACAGCAAAGTTCTATACAGACTGTTATGACACTCTTCTGGTTGCTGGGAACAACTAGGAAATCTCCTTCAATGAATGAGATTGGAGGCAAGAATCAGAGGAAGTTCTTTCCTTCATTTCCAGAATATTATGAGGTAGGATAAAATTTTAATTTTCCTTCAAGTACTTATTCTGCCTGATCCCTACCTGTAGTAAGATCTTTGAGCATAATAATACATTACAGTTAAACATTAGACATGGTGAAATTTAGCCCCCCAAAATACAGTTTTATTGCTGTTGCTGTTTGGCTGCACAACTAGTTCACACTGGAAAAATCTCAAAGAACGGCCTAAGCATGTTCCTAGAAAGGATCTATCAAATCCTATCAATGGAGCCAAGAAGGAACATCTCAGAGGCTTTGATGTTGGCATGCCACTAAAGGGAAGCTTACAGCAAGGGATGGGGTAAGGGCAGATGAACAGAAAACAGAGGAGATGACCCCTCAACTTCTATTTGAAGCTAACTCTGCCTGAACTAAAAGGTGCTGTGATAAAGAAACACTTTGTAATAGGCTAACATTAAGATTATTTTCCCTTAAAATCATCTTTCTGGTAGCGGTCTATGCCCACATCCTTCCAGACAATGAAGGGAATAATAGAGTGGTTACAATCACACTGTTCCTAGGTTTCTGGATGTGAATGAAGAAACAATAATCTGGGGTGTGCTTATTCAGGCATAGACAAGTTTAAATCCAGGGCAGGGGTTGAGGGGGTGGGGGGATGAAACCACCTCACTCGTTTCTTTCCAACTAGTACCTAGTCTGTCTGATATTTGTTTTCTCTCATGGATGCATTGCTTTGTGAAATCTTTTTGTTGTTTGGTAGTAAGAGCGCTTTTTGACTCCTCAACTGGGTTACCCACACCTTGAATGCAATGCTATCTGCTATTTCCTCTTATCTCCTCCTCTATCTTATCCCTCCCACTGTCACTCACAAATAGTAATTTCTCACCAAAACTAATTATACATGTAATAAAATCTTGAGTTTATTGTGCATGGAGTGATGCTAATATTACAAAGAGTTTAGAGAGTACTTCTAGGTGGGAGAAAAAGGAGATGTCATCATGAAATATAAGGCAAGGGTGAGGAATTAAATTTCTTTGTGCTTGATGATTTTAAACAATTATAATAGTCACTATTTACAAGGCTTTGATTAGATGCAAATTACCATACTAGATTATTTTCACATATAACCTATTTTATTCTCACAAAAGCCCTATATATTGATTATTACAGCCCAGTTTTTCAGATGACAAAATATATAGGGTTGGAGACACTGCCTTGCCCAAGGTCACACTGCAAGTAAGTGTACAGCCAGTACACAAACCCAGTTCTGTCAGACCCTGAGTTCCGGCTTCCTGGGCTTACTAGATGGCAAGTCCTGGTGAGTATGGGCCATTTCCAGCTACCATGATCTTTTTTATGATATATACTCTTCCCATCGATCACACAGTAGGTGCTTTCAGGAGTCTACCATCTACCTCTGGTTTCCATTGTTTTAGCCCATTGGGGCTGCTATAACAAAATACCATAGACTGGGTGGTTTTTAAACAACAGAAATTTACTCCCCACAGTTCTGGAAGCTGGGACGTCCAAGATCAGGACCCTAGAAGATTCAGCGTCTGGTGGGGGTCCACTTCCTAATTCATAGATGACCATCTTTACACTGTGTCCTCACATTGAAGGGGCTAGGGAGGTCTCTGGGGCCTCTTTTATAAGGGCACTAATCTCATTCATGAGGGCCCCACCCTCATGCCCTACTCACCTCTGAAAGGCTCCACCTTTAAACACCATCAAGTTGGGGATTAAGTGTCAACATATTAATTTTGGGTGGACACAAACATTCAGTATATAGCCCCCATCGTTAATTTTGAGGGGTATGGGAGAGATCTTCATTCTGTGTTGGTAGAGGTGGAGAGAAGAGTATATCTACATGGATGATGGGTCAATTGGATCCATCCCTGGCAGGCTAGCAGTGTCATGGTGCCCCACCTCAAATGGCCGTCTGAGTGAACTGTCCTGCTTTTATGTGATGCTCAGTCTAGAAAGATTTTCTCAATTAACAAGCTTAATTTTCTAATTTTTCTTCAAATAAAACATCTTCACCAAGAATGTGACTTTTGAGGTGATTCTGGAAGGAATGAGTAGGATGGTGTTAAGAAGTTCACATGGTATGGGGACGTGCTTTCCTCCAGGGGAAATAATGAGCACAAAAGTGGAAGAGTATGGGGGTTCCAGCAGAACTGCAGATAGTTCTGTGGGTCTGACAGCTGGGGTGTATTGATTACTTATGAGCCACTATGTATAGGGGATACAAAAGTGAACCAATTAGGTCATTTACACATTAATGAGACAGATATGTATTGAATGTGTACTATGTGCTGGACACGACCATAGAGGATGAATAAAACATGGACGTAGTCTTCTTACTTACCATTGGAAAATTGAGGTGCACTGCTCATTAAGCTGCTGCTTGGGGGGTAGGGAGGTCCAAGCTAAGTGTTATGGCCTCATATCAGTATTGACAAGAGTTACCTTGGTATCTTTTGCCACATCGTTTTCAATACCTAGGAAATTATATATAAGAGGTGCTCCAAAAATAATTGTCACATAAGAAAACAATTTTAAATTCATGTGTTTAATGAAAGAGTACATTTTTAATACATATGAACTTTTATGAAAGGTAATTCATATTCAAAATGGGTGTGTATAGCAAATGGGAACAGAAACTATAATAGTTCAAAGCGTATTTCCTAAGTCTATTTTGACAAAATTAAATGCATAGATTATGGTAACTCAACATGAAAAGATTGGCTAGAATCTACACCTTGTGAGGTGCTAGAGGTGAGTCATTTCGCTCATTTAAATTTGCATTTTGAAGCCAGGATGCAGGTAATCTGTGGGTAATTT